CTCATTGTAAAACGCATATCCGTGGTCAACATAAGGATATTTTTGTCGAGATCTCTCATGAGGAAACAACTTTCTTCCTTCTTCTTTTTGAGATGGTTCTTGGACGACCACGAAGACGGCGACGACGACCGGTAGAATGTACACATACATACATATATATCACACACATATACGACCACTTTCATTTCATCTTCTTGTAATTACTTATTGCAAACGTTAACGCTTTGTTTGCTGACATTTCTGAAGAAAACCAATTCCACTGATCTCTACGAAGTTATCTCTATACGATAAGAGAAAATGATCAATGTCATAACTTGACAAAAAAAAATAAAGAAGAAGAATAAATCAAAGTTAACATTAAAATTGAGATGCATCCTTGAGTTGAAATATCAATCGATTACCAATAAGTATCGAACAAGCTACCGCTAGTAATATAACGATCTCTAATCGAAGACGTTTATAATAATGACAAGTAATTACCGATAAGGACTCCCGTTAAACACTTATACGTGTGTATAAATTTCGTTTTTTCTTTTTTCTTTTGAGTCACCATTAGAAGATCCTTCTTTCGTATTACCTTTCGACGGCCTTTTTTATTTTTCTTGCAAATTAACCTAGTATCTACTAATTGGAAGTTTAACCGACCTCGTGATCTATCCATGCACGATGCAAAAATACGGAAGACAGAAAATTAGAAGGACGATTAGAATGAACAAGAGCATGATCGGTTGCTATACTTTTAACACTTCTTATTAGCGAACATGAACGTATATGTGATAGATGCATGTGTGTATAAGTTTAACGATAAGTAGTCGTTTGCAGTAAACCTTAATTAGCAACGATCGTGATAACGGAAGTAATAGCATTCGTAGGTCGCGATTGGTTCGATATTTTTTTTTTCCTGAATCTAACTTAAAAGGAACAAGGGCAATTTCGAAGTAGACGTACGTATAATCGTTAACTACGAAACCGATATTTACGATATAGCTTTCGAGTTTTATTTTAGATTTGTACCATATGTAGGTAGATACAATAAAAGAGATCGATCGATCGGTTGATCGATAGAACGATCTTTATCTTTTATCTTACAAATCGAAATCAATAAAGTCTTTCGATATTCTCATTAAGAAGATCTATAGATACAAGTGCAAGTATACATCATGGATACCCATTTATAGAATAGAATATACAACTATACTCATTCGATGTTCGAGCTTGTAAAACTGATCCCATATTTTTCCTTCCACGCAGAAAATGGTTGTACGATTATTCACTTTGATCACGTATTACATCTCGCCGAATGATTTCTTCGCGTTAAACTTAACCGAGAGTCAAATATGCTCTCACTCTCATCGTAATAGCGATTCCATTTCATAATCCTATTCGTAACGCGTCCAACAACACACTTCGGTCTTCTCGAAACGGTCTTGCTAAAACCGAGTCGAATGTCCAAGGACTCGAACACTAATCCGTACAATATCGATCTTAAGCAGTTGAAATAAATTGCCATGTATCCTTTCAAATATTATGACATTTGCGTTCTCTCTTTCTTTTTTTCTTTCTTTCCTTTCTTTCCTTTTTTTCTTTTTTTTCTTTTTTTTCTTTTTTTTCTTCCATCAATACGCGGTATATTTTTCCATAATTTGTCTATCTCCTTATTACTTAGCCATTGCAAAAGTGAACGTCTCAAATAGATAGTTCATTAGGAAGTAGCAAGAGCAGCGAATAGTTTAAGATTAAAATGACGTCAGAGATTTGTGTCTCCGGTGACATACGAGAAAAGGAAAAAAGAAAAAAGAGAGAAAGAGAGAGAGAGAGAGAGAGAGAGAGTTCAAAGTAGCCTAGGTGTATTTCATAAAGTCGCAATTTTAATTGCATTCACCTTAAAGAGACGGTGCGCAATGATGTCTTGATTGTCGGCTGACAGCAAGTCTAATGAAGGTGTTATATTATCTCAACGAACGTAGATAACATTATGGCGGATTCGTGTAGGAATGCACCCGTCGTTAGTTATTAAACATATCCTTGAGCCACAACATAGAAAAAATGTGGATATTGCTCGTAATGCCAACGAATATGTTAAAAACATTTTATTCGCAAAAGGAAAACCAATGGTTGGTTGTTAGTTTGAAATAGAAATCGAGGAGATTCAAAACTCTGTAAGCTTTAAATAAAAACGAAAAACGGGTTAAGTAAGTATGATGTTATTTTGGAATATTTTCTACGTGAAAAGAAAAGAAGATGTATATAAATCCTTTTATAATAAATAAAAATAAAAAATTAGGAGGAATAATAACAATGAGAAAAAAAAAAAAAAAGAAAAAAGAAAGAAAGAAATATATCTTTTTCTCCCTTTCTACTCTAATGAGATCCAATGCTAATTTATCTGCATCATGGCTATTAATGATCCGAAGCACTCACAACCATTGTCCGTTGAATCCTTCAAGGTAGCTCACTGAGGAATAACAGAAAGCATATCGAGGGATTGCAAAATCGAGATCGTCGAAGGGCATCGTACGTTCGATTAAAGGAGGAGCAATGAGCTTGATCCATTATCAGACTCTTCCCCCAGAGCTGGAACGAACGCGTCAATGTCAAATTTAATCGTCCAACGCTTTAATCATAAAGATAGCGAGGTCGTGTTCTCGATGCCTGTCTCTTATTTACACTTACTTTTTTACCAGAGAAGTCACTGTTCCGAGCAAGGACGATGAAAATAAAAAAATTAATTTAAAAAACATGAAAAAAAGGTATAATAAACGAAGACAAATTGAAACAAGTAGGCTGAAACAATGAGCTGCAGGAATTATCGAAGTACCTCTCTTATACGTTCGCGGTGTGAAACGCGTTGCGGCCAAGTTGCGGACGCGTTGTTCGGGTTCAAAATCCGTTTCAGGGTGTCCAATTACTTGGACCTGATGCAGGTGTGGCGCTTCGAGGCTGACCAGAGTATTGAATTCCGTAAAAATACCTGACGTCCCTCTTTGAACCATTCTCTCTCACTCGTTCCCTTTACTAGCCCTCTACTATCTCTTCTTAACCCTTTGAAATTCCCTTTCTATCTACTTAAACATATATATATACCTTTTCCATTAATTCAACGCTACAACAAATATCTTCTACTTTACCTAAGTATTAAATTCCGTAAAAATACCTTAACGCCCCTCTTTGAAACATATTTATTCTCTCTCCCTCTCACTTACTCTCTCTTTTGAATAGCCCTTGACTATCCTCTCTTTTTAACCCTTTGAAATTTTCTTTCTATTAGCTTACATACACATACTAATTTAACGAAACGACAAATACCTTCTGCTTTCCAAGATCCATTACGCAATAACCGTACTCTTTAATGGCACCTCGATAACCGCTTTCTCCAAACGACGAAAGTCTATATGCTGGAAATTTCGCGAATTCTAACGGTTTAAAAACTTGTTTTTTTACGGAGATTCCCATGACTAAACCAACATTTCAGCTTACGAATAATAGTCGCCCCGTCTTTTTTATCCACGTAATTGAACAACGTCGTTGTTTATCGTTTCTATCATTCGTTAAATCAACACTGTCGACGAAAAAGAATGTAGAAATTCGTCTAGACTACGGAGAGTAGTCCTTGAACGGCGCCCAGCCACGAAGGTAGGCCACCATCGTGAAATAAGCTTGATTTACGTGCGAATATTGCCAATTAAGCAAACTTCAAATAAATAAACAATTAAATAAACAAAATGTCAATCTCGTGGAAATATTTTAAATTTGACAAATTACAGGAAAATCATTTCGAGTCCAAGGAACAATAGACAGAAGCCGTAAAAAAATACCCTTGCCCAAACCGAATATATTCGTCGTGCATTCGATACGTCGATATTTCCAATTTCGATTTATAAATACCTACGGCAGAAAACTGGTTTTTTACTCAGAGAGTTCATAGTTTTTTTTTTGTACTTTTTCTTTAAATTTATCATCAACAAACGGTTATAAGTCTCAGATTTTTTGGAAAGGCGATCATTGTAAAAATAAGCGAGCACGATTCGAGCTCGAGCGTTAAATCGATTATCGAATATTCGTAAGGCATCGATTAAAGCCGATCGAATTCCTTTCGTCGACGGTGTATTATTAATTAACGATCACGAGCGATCACGTTGGTGGTGTATTATACACAGCAAGTCTCGAGCCAAGCCGAGTCGAGTGCTCGCATCGATCGCTAGAACTCGTGCGCAAGGAGCGTGGGCCTGGATTTTACGAACGAGCGAACAACGCGCGCGGAATTCGAGAACGTCGTTGTGCAACAATAAAACCGGAATGTCGGCTCGCTTCGTTGCCCCCGGCAGACGACCAAATTCTCCTCGATCTTCCTCCGAGGAAGGAAGAACATTGAAGGAGTATGTGCACCTTTGAACGAACATAAATACGAGAAATCCACTAAATCAATAACAAATTTATTCATAATTTATTTTTTTTTTTTTTTTTTCGGTGATATTCATTATTTCAAATTGATGACTATCTTTTCTTGCTCTTTTGATAAACTTCGCGTACCTCGTGGCTAGACAAAAAAAAAAATAAATTAAAAAATACTTTCATACATTCAACGAATTAATATGTCACTTATTATCGAATTAAAAAACTCGTAAGAATTCTACAAGAAAAATCTAAAAACAACATTCTTTTGATTAGTACTCAAACAGGATTTAAAGATAAGTAAACAGAAAACAAGATTTCGTAGAAAAATGTTAGTAGTTTTACAAAAAGAAAACACTTGTTCGCATTACGGTGACACGAATGGAGAGCTGAAATCTTCTGCCGTTGGCGCGAGACCAACGCGTTGTACACAAGAAGCCGTTGTATTTTCTGGTGACAGATAAACGACGTGCGGTTGCAGGTGGAAGACATGCGGGCAAGACATAGCAGTGCAATCGAGCGCTGCATTATCGCTTGAGCAATCGAAGCTTCGCGTCGATTTATGTCGCTATTTTTCTGTTTTTATTTACTTTTTCTTTTCTTTTCAGATCGAAACAACAGCGGCGGCGACGGATAGTCCGCTTTCCTGGCACATCCCAAGGCCGTCCTTAGGATGTCCCAAGACTGGACGAAGTGAAAAAGATAGCGAAAATGGAAGCTGGGCGCATCACCACCACCACCATCATCTTCATCATCATTTGCATCCTGATTCTCCTTCAAGAGGATCTACTTCATCTCAGGGATCAACAGCCAGTACACACGTTAGTATCTTTTTTTGTCCATTACTATACTTCTTTGAGATTATTTTTTTTTTTAAATAGATAAATGTTTCTTCGACGTGGTTATGTGCTATTTTTATTACAATCTTTCCGGACGCGATAACGTTTAATCGTGATATTAGGAAAGATTCTATCGAACGCTTCCTACTGGAAATAAACAAGCGTTGGAAATGTCTAAGCATTATCTTCCATATCTTAATGAAGTCATTAAACCTACTTTTTCTCCCACACTCAGTTACTTTCACTAGCTAACGTAAATTTTAATCAGCTCTATAAATTACAACTTTTACCTTTTCGATTATCGTTCAAAGGAGATCGAATTTGTTTTGTTTGTACAGAGCGCAGCATCGGGAACGTTGCTGCTAACAGCCGCCAATTTGGCTAATCTCGCAGCGATGCATCCACCAACGGTAACAACACCCAAACAAATGGATACTGCATCGGTAGCAAGCAGTACGCATTTTACGGTTGTAAATGGCCTCGGCAGACCTACCACCGTTTACAGGAAGTCCTGGTGTGCGAGGAATCAGCTCACCGTACTTGTATGCACAATGAGTTTCCTATTCATGGTCGGCCTCTTAGCAGGAATCCTCTTCATGGAAAGTGAGTGTCCTTTTGCAATGGACTGTTGTCTCGTTCTCAATCTAAACGAATCTTCACGAGAAATAGCATCCGGGAATTTCTCTGGTATTATTTTTTCTGATTACAGTGAGGGCTCGCGACAAATACAATTAGGCCGAGATCAAGAAATCGAACGAAGAGAAGAGAAAAGCGAACGTGTCTTTGGGGTCCTCGCGATAGCACATATACAACATACGTCGTGGCAAGATCGAACTTTCGTAGAAGAGATGTGGAAAAAGAAAGAAGAAAAAGAAGAATATTAGAGGAACAACATGTGGAAGGAACATGTTCTCGATAATAATCGTCGACTACAATCTGCTACACGAGTCACGAAGAGTCCCTGTTTAATTTCGTATTTATATAAGCGCAAGTCTTGTTAAACGCGTTCTTAATGATTTGAGACCATTCGCTGGAGAGATAGAATTTTAAGGCTGTATTGCACCTTGTCAAAAAGTGTGGTACGTGAATCCCAGTAATTACATTTGTGTAATAATAACCGACCGTTTCAAGCGAGCGAGTACGGCTTATAGCAATAACGAAAAAACCCTCGCCTTGTGAATAATTGTATTATATTTATGCTATTGACTAACGAACCCCCTAGATCGTCGTCCAAATCTCGAATCTCAATCTCGAGATACAATCCAAAAGTATGTGTAAGCCAAACAAAAAGAAAAATATGAAAATTCTTATGATCTAAGATCGTACGATTTTTGAAATTTTTTTCTTTTTTTAATTTTGACTTCTAATCGTTGATTAAAACGGTTCTCGAACGATTTAACGTACGCTGTGTAAATCGCATCGATGTCCTCGTTCAAAATCCACGATAAAGATTCTCTTTTAAGTTAATAGAAATTTGAATTTGGTATTATATCGACTAAACATGACAACGACGATAGAGAATATTAACATTTAGGAGCTCGTAATTTAATTCATACTAACACGAAACGCCTTAAATCAAACCTGGACAATTCTGTCGTGCGATGTCGTTCCAGGATATCAATATGTTGGAAAAGCAATGAAGAGCGGTCGCGTCGATCGCCCTTCACGACTGTGATATTACTTGCGTATTAAATAATCATCAATTCAACAAGAAACTGTTAGAACCTAAACACCGTATTTCATTTATATCCTTAATATCCTTAATATCCTTATTTTCTTTGAACAAAGACGCTCTAGGATAATCAATCATTCTTCAATCGAAGGTAAGTTGATATTATGTTACATTACAAATAAAATTGCTATACTGTTAATACAATTTTTACGCGTTAAAAACAATGTATTAGAATATTAAAGATTTGTTCAAAAACTTACCTCAACTTCCTGAAGAGTTTGCGTCCACCTGTAGTTAGGCATATCCGCACCGTTGCCGGAATTAGGCCTTAGTTTATTTTTTTCTTTCTCATCTTCTTCATCTTCGTCGTCAGCCATTTCTTTATTCTCTTTCTTTGATTCACCGTCAGCACTAACACCACTAGTTCCAGGAACCGCAGTTGTTTCTTTAGATATCTTCTGCATAAAGAATGATTATTGTCTATTATATCAATTACAATGATTACGTACACCTAATAAACAAATATCAAATACTTACTTTGTTATCTATCTCTTGTTGTAATTTAATCGCCTGTTCATCCGTCAATTCAACTATTCTAGAATCCATATCCATTTGTTCTTCTAATTTCTCTTCTTCCTTTTTCTTTTTCTCCAACTTTTCTTTTCGTCTTCTTTCTTGTTCTGCACGTTCAGCTTTCTCTGCAGCAGCTTTTGCTAAAGCAGTTGCTTCATACTTTTTGAACTTTCCAGTAACAAGCTATAGAAAAATTCATATTGTATGACATAAGTATGTTTAAATAAATAATTCACGATCTTAATTCTTGTAAAGGACAGTAATATTACGATTATAAATACAGTAGAATCTTGACTATAGAAACATTCTATTAACCTAATATTCTTCCATCAGAGCACATTCTACCAATCACACAATTTCCTTGAGTGTTAAATATATAAACAGTATCGTTCTACTATTCTGTATTTTAATTATTTGAATACTTTTATATTCCTATTATCAAAGTTCTACTATATCTTGATACAATATTGATTCCAGAAAGATCGAGAATATTCAATAAAACAGATTATTTTGTATGAAAATATATACCTTTTCAGCTGCACCTTCGCCTCCTCCGGTATAAAAATCTGTTTTCCTTGCCAAAAAACTGAAGATTGTTTCTAACAACTGAAAGAAATTTTGTTAGGAAAAAACAAAAACCGATAGAAAAAACATTTCAGAAAATTGAATTAAGTAATGCTGCTGTGTAACAAAGACATAACCTCAACCGGTAAGTTACTTACGTCTTGAACACCACCTTCGTGTTGTTGAGCCATCGCCAACAACATTGCATCGAATTTCTCTTCGTTTTTCGACATCCTGTTAGAATTTATTTAAAAATATGTAGAATATATTTATCGAGAAAGAAATTACAAACTCCCAAGACAAAAAAGTCACTGCGTTGCAATCTATTCTTTCGACACGTTTCTATCGTTTTTCCGACTAATACGTCTATGCGCATGTGTAGAAATATACTTCATTGCTATTGGTCGAAATTTTCGCATTGAGTTAGACACCTGTATTAATAAGCACCATCGATATTGTCACAAATATTAATTTACAAAAATTATTCTATTTTTCATTCGTAAAATTGTACTTACATTCAAAAATTTATTTTAATTATATTATTTATGCAAATTTTTGTTTGTATTTCGAGATAAAGTAGAATGAAAAATAATAATCTGCAGTTATCGACCAAACAAACTCTGCTTCAATGTATCATTGGCGACCTCTATCGAGATGTAAGGTTTCTACGATTTCTATTGCGGGTTGCATATCGACAGGCGCAATATAGAATATTTTAAACACGCGCAATATTTTGAAACATTTAGAAAATTAAATCATTAAATTAGTACTTCCATGTATGATTTGAAATTATGTACAATTGTCAATTATTCTAAATTTTGTTATAATCCAATCCAAAAGCTTGTTTTATAGGAAAAATTATTTCAATGCAGGTTACGTCACGTGTATCATACAAAATTGAAATAATGGCATATGATAGAGCCAAAAGATTTCCAAAATTAATTACACAGACTTCTGCATTCGTTGGTCCTGGAACTTACGATGAATCATATATATCAAAACCACCACGTGATTTAGGTAACATGTAATCATACGATATTAAAACTTCAATGTGTTATAAATTATTCGTATTATCTTTTAGACGGTCAATATCCATTTTTAAGTGGCACGCGGAGACAAACTATGATTGCATCGAAAGATGCAATTCTTTTTCCAGGACCTGGTTCATACGATCCAATAGAGCCACAACGGCACATTCCAGAACGTAGAATCGTTTAACAATATTCAGATTTCAATTTCACCTTATTCATTTTAAATGGATTTTATAAATTCTAGGGAGGTGTCAGCATCGATTACACTGATGCTAGATTTAAAGAGAAAATTTACGAAGGACCAGGTCCAACGGAATACGATTTACCGGATGATCTATTCAAAGAGATACCGAAGAAGATTAGATCACATCTTGGCACTTGGAAAGGACCACCTGGAAAAGTAAAATGTTTTTCTAATTCGTTCATATTCCTGACGTTTATCAGGGTCATAATCTTTTCAGCTGTGGTTAATAAAACCACCACGTTCTATCATAACTTCTGGAATATCCGTACCTTCGAAACGTGACGTTTACGGTTACGATATTAATGAGGATGGAATTCTTGTTAAAATTTCACCAATCGAAGATGAACCAACTTTCATATATGAAATACCAAGAGGAGTAATAACAATTTCTACAATAATATCAAATGTATATATAAACTTTATTTCATTTTCTATATGCAGGATGAAAATTTTACTACTCTCAAATATAAAGGAAACTTTTGGAGTAGAATGACTGGAAGGGAAGAGAAAAGACCCTTCGTAACGCCAGGACCAGGGGACTACGAACACGAAACAAAAAAGACTCCTACGCAAATTTACGATGAAAAGTTTAGGGAAAAAAAGAGAGCTACGTCAAGACAACCACGATACCTCGAAGCGATGTTCCGACGAAAATTACGAGAAGTTCATTTATTTCTTAAATGTTTTATCTTATTTTCCACAGACACAATAGTAAGAGAATATAATTTTTGCCAAAGGGATTACCAGGACCAAATCATTATGATACACATAAAAGTACCTTTGACAAGTATCAAAAAATCAATTGTAAATGCGACAAATATACCATAGAACCTCCACCTTTCAATCAAACTGCTGAGGTAAATAAATGTTTAAAAATTTGTGAATATTTCATTTTAAATAAATTTCATTTGCTCCAGAGATTCGAACTTAGAGAATTTATTGATATTCCTGGTCCAGGAACGTACGAGAGCAAAAAACCAAAAAGTTGTTTAACTCAAGTACGTCGAGCACCATTTGGAAGTCTCGTTTCTCGTTTTAAAAAGGATTCTGACAATTCGGCTCCAGGTATCGTATTTAATCTCTTTCCAAATATATTCAAAGATTGTATAAAATTTATTAACCGAATCAATGTATTTCTAGAACCTGGTAGATATCACGTAGTAGCAGGAAATATTTCTTATGAATCCGCAAAACGTTTCAAGTATCATTACGAAAGGTCGACACCTTACTTATTTCTGAAAAATATTGTATCTCCTTATAATGAAAAAGAATTTATTGAAGAAACACAAGAAATAGAGCATGAAGAACTTAAAAAAAGTTACGAGTATCATGCTGTTTTTAAATCAAGGACAGAAAGATTTCGTAAAGTTCTTAAAGGGGTAAGAAAATTGACACACGCGAATCTAATAAAAAATATTTCTTTCAAAACAATCTAGTCTAATGTTTTAATCTGAGAGATGTCATTGGTAATACGATTCTCACGCTGGTAATGATTTAACAGCAAGGAGAAGTATAGAAAGAAAGATTCTGTAGATAGTAGTAAGAGTAAGTCGATGGTCAGACGTGACACCAAGGATTCTTTCGGTAGAAACTGGAGACTCAGGGTAGAGCCAGGTAATCCTCAAAGCGCAAGGTAATCAGGAGAACCCGAGACGAAATTAATGGCAACCGATCGAAGCGTAGCATCTGTACCCGAGGCGGTTCGTAGCCAGGATCCAATTTGGCCGTTAATCGAGAGAGAGAGAGAGAGAGAGAGAGAGAAAGAGAGTGAGTTTGTGAGAGAGCATTGGAACGGGATTCGATGGTTCAACCATAGATAGGCTTGCCTAGAATGGTCAAAGCTATTCGGACAGTTCCTGCTTCCGCCTATACGAGATACGTTTCCGATCACGTTCGGAACATTTATATTTTTCATTTACGTCGATACTCTAACGTGTGCTAGTTCTCGCCCCATACTTATCAATTATTTTATATCCTTTCTTTTTTTTATAGAACAGACAGCACACGTAAAATGAAATTAGTTACGTGTCATTAATTTTCTAGAAGACATTATAAAATTGATTAGATTCTAGCCGATTGATAAAGAAGTGTCTAATATAATCGAGTCGTTAAATAAAATCATCTGGAACATGGGGAGGATGATGTATACTTAAGTATGATCGATGAAGCAAAGAGAAACATCCAGTCGCATAACTCTCTAGTCTTCGTTCGAGCGAGGAATTCGCGAGGATGACCAGTAGTAGTTCTGCTTTCGACGAAGTCATATTTACATAACGTAGGGAAGCGTCGTAACTCTGTGAGCCCCCGGAAATGACGTTCCAGCGTGCTCGGGGGGTCATTTCCACGCACAGTCCGCGTGGCTGCCGATGTAGCCCGGTGAAATCACTTCCGGCTCGTTGAACCGGAAATTCGAGCCAATCCCTGCCTCGATCTCTCTCTCCTTTTCTCTCTCTCTCTCTCTCTCTCTCTCTCTCTCTCTTGCAGTCTATCAGCAAAACGTAAATTGCGGGTAGTCCAAAACATCGTTTATTTTGGTATTTGTTCTTCGTCACAAGAGACTATCACCAGGTTGAAGAAAATAGAATTGGACCAATAGTGCTATCGAATAGTCTTTGTTTTAATTAAATCGATACCAAATTTAAAGTTTGTCCACCTTATATAGAAATGTCTCGTAAATTGCATTTTTACTTTTCTTTTTCTTTTTTTCCTTACTTTTGTAGATCGATGCGCCGGATCCTGGAGCTTACGAAGCTTTAACCTCTTTTAAGGCTAATCGTGATCGATGCGACTTCCTTTGCCGACGTTTGGCTCCACCCTTCCTTTCGAGGGCTCGCCGTGTTCTCGAGATTACCAAAGGAATCGATATGACAGTACCAGGTACTAACTCCTGTCTCATTCCTATATTCCTATAAATTATATTCATAATTATTCCAACACATATTACTTTCGATCGAATACGGAAATCGATGAAAAGTCCATTTATAAGCTATCGATCAATTAACGCTGGAAATATGTGTTGAGAGTGTTCAATTATTTCATCATTTTCCTTTAGTTCTTTTTTCTTTTTTTATTCTTTTTCACTCCTCAAAACAATATTTTCAAACCATAGCTAAAATGTAGGATAGCATAATTTTCTTAGACGTTAGAACTCCTCCATTATTCATCCTATCATCTTAATTCATGGACTCTGTCAATTCAAACACGCTTCTTGCACGAACCAGGAAGCAATATCGAGCGAGGACAATGCCTTGATTTTCATACTTTTTGTGTCTAGCTCCAACACATTATACCATCCCGTATGACATATCAAAAGGAATCAAGGGAGGTGTGATACCGTATTCACGCCGTGATAAGGAGAAGAAAAAGAAGGTACCTGGTCCCCAGGACTATTATGTAAGGATTTCTTTCTTAAGATTCCATTCTCAGATATTTTTTATTTTCCATTTCTTATGGACTACCGTTGCGATTTACATTGAAATGTTACAAGAAATACCTTTTTCTATTTAATTGCATTTGCAGATAAATCCTTATATCGATTCCTCTGTGTTAAAGAAATCTTTCAATGTTACTTTGGGTAAAACTAAATTCATTGGAGAAAAGAAAAAAGTGAAAAATCGATTACACCCTTCGAAGAAAACTCTTAGGTGGTTCACCACACCTGTTGAGGATTATCGACATTGTTCTGTAACGTGTTTGACAGTGTCGTGATTGACGATACTTAAAAATACAAATTATAAATTCAAAATTCAAGTTTAAGGGAGGAAAGAAATTGAAATAAAAGTTTAGGATCTTTGAGTTGAGAATTTGGAATCGATCGTATAATACAAAGTCGTATTTACTTTGTAGGAACATGCTAGGATATTGCGTGCTTATGGCACGCGAGAATAATGTCGGATACTTCAGATAGTGATATATGAGGTACGGCTACGTACCATGAGATGACTAGATGGCTAGCATCCCGTATTTCCATAATATTCCCGTGTAAAACGGGAACATGCGTTGCTGAAAGCGGCATAAATGAAAATCTTCCATCACGTGTCATTACGTGTTGTTGCGTTCCGTCGTTGTTAACTTGAACATTTTTTTTTAGACTATTTTTTTCGTTTTACACTCATACATATATATATATTTATTTTTTTATTTTTCGCAGACGTAAATTCAACACACGGACGAAAGATTACAAATATCCTCCTATTTATTTTCGTTTTACGAGTAAAAACGTGAAAAATGGTCGAGTTGAAAATCAGCGTGTATCTTTTGGTGCAAACAAAATTCGATAAAATATAAGTTGCATTACTATTTCGTATTTTTTTTTGTTTGATAAAAAATTAGCTATCATGCCGAACGAAGCGTATGACGAACTTGGATGTTTTTATCCGATCTTTTAGGAATATCGATTGGAAACCCCCTATTTAACTTCCGGTACAGTGTTAACAATTAAAGATCGACGAGTTTCGACCACAGGATACCCATAATCAGTCACCTCTTGACAAGGGTTCGTAACAAAGGATACGCTTAGTTGTAGCCTATCGTTTCTAAAGAGTATTCCCTTATAAAAGGGAATAGACCTTCACTCGGATCAATACTACCAAGGGTTCCAATAGCATACCTCGATATGACATCACATCTACATTTATTTATACTTTATACCTCGCGCACTTAAAACTATTACTTTGAAGTAGTTATCATGATATATTTTGTTTCATAATTAACAGGAAAGGTCAAATTCTCAATTATTTCGAGCATAAAATAGCTTTGTATTATTTTTTCTTATCATTTTTTACGAGTTAAAGTCTACGAGTATGCATTGAAACTTTGTCAGAGACAGATAGTTTTGTTTCCTGTTATTTTTTTGTCACGAATATAATTTGCGTATTATTAAAAAAAAATGTGGCCGTTTCCAAGTATTGATTATGCTTTATTTTTAAATTTATTTTCTAAATTAATGTTTCTCTCTTTAAGTGACGACGATATGAATCTGATCAATTTGAATTCGGTTAAACAATTTCATTTTCCATCTTACCAAATAAATGTAACTAACGCCTTAATAGTTAACATGTTTCCGGATCAATTTCATTTCGGTGTTTCTACGTCAGCTTACCAAACAGAAGGTGCTTGGAATGAAGATGGTAATATCATTTGTTTTTTTACGAAGAATAACATTCATTCTCACTGACATACACACAAAAATATGATAAAATTTTTATTTCATAATATCAGGTAAAGGAGAATCTGTGTGGGATCACATGACACATTCAAATCCTAGTCTCATTCGTGATCGAAGCAACGCCGATATTGCTGCTGATTCTTATCATCAATATAAAACGGATATAAATATTGCGAAACAGATAGGCGTGAGTGATGAATCTTATTTAATATGATAAATTTCGTGGGACGCTATTTAATTATTCATTTTTTGTTTGCTCTAGAGTAAAATGTATAAAATTTCGATATCATGGCCAAGAATTTTTCCAAACGGTTTACATAGTCGTATAAATATGGACGGTATTCGACATTACGATAAAATTATCAATGAAATTATTAAACATGGAATGACACCGATGGTTACTCTTTTTCATTGGGACATGGCCTATAGTTTGCAAAAAATAGGTGGATTATCCAATCCATTGATCATAGATTTTCTCATTCAATACGCCGCGGTTGCTTTTGATGCATTTGGTGATCGAGTACGTATCAACTATTCATTTTATTTTTAACCGAATCATTCTTGTTAATTATAACAATGTAAGATTATAATTTGTTTTTTTGTTTATTTGTTTAATTTAGGTAAAATATTGGGTTACAATAAATGAACCATCCGTCATATGTCAATATGGTTACGGCAGTGATAAAATGATACCTGCGATAAATTTATCTGGAAAAGCTGATTATATTTGCGGTCATAATCTATTGTTAGCTCATGCTAACATATATGAATTTTATCAAAAAAATTTTGACGATGTACAGAAAGGTGAGCCATTGTATAAAGTTAAATTATTATTATCTATTTCCTTGTGATATTTTCTTTACGATGTATATGTACATATGTGTATGTCAATTTACTATCAGTAGTATTAGTCATGCAAATAAACAAGTCATTTATTTTTAAAGTTAGTTACTTGTTTATTTTTTCTGAACATTCAATTAAAAAACATGACAATAATAAGAATTATAATTTTTAGGTAATGTTGGTATTGTTCTCAATTTGAAATGGTTTGAGCCAGAGAATCCAAATAATGTTGAAGATAAGTTAGCTGCGGAAAGAGCTTTCCAATGGTGGAATGGATGGTTCCTTCATCCATTGTTTAGCGAACAGGGTGGTTATCCCGAAATGATGAAGAATATGATTAGAAATAATAGCTTTTCCAAATATTTAAATTCACGTTTACCGAATTTCGAATTTTTCCAAATGCAGCAAGTTAAAAACTCCGCTGATTTTCTTGGTATTAGTTTCGACAGAAATACTTTAGTACGTGGCTCTCAGCCAAATTCTAATGATACATCTTTTCAAAACGATGCTCAAATAACAGAATCATCAATACACCTACAAGAACAAAATTATAATAAAGTAAGTATGATTAAATAGATATCTCAATTAATTTATTGAATTATCTTATCTTATGATTTTTTCAATAATTAAGATCAAGTCGCAGACACTTGCGAATCTTTTAAATCGCATAGATCTTAACTACGAATTACCACCAATCATTATAACCGAAATTGGCTATCAGGACAATGGAAAGATCCAAGACTTGGCTAGAAGTATCTACCATCACGAACACTTATCTATAGTTTTACAAACTATGAAAAGCGGTATCGACATTCGGGGCTATCTAGTTCGTTCTTTCATCGACAGTTTTGAGTGGATGATGGGTTATACGTAAGTATTTTCTTTATTTTAACGATTACTTTTGATCTAATGATAGTACAAACTAAAATTATTAATTTTCTTTGATAGAGTTAAATCCGGTATAATCAGTGTGGACTTTGCTAACAAAAATCGTACACGACGACCACGAGCATCGGCTTTGGTCATAAACGACGTTTATAAGAAAAAACTTGTCCGAACATGGAAAGATATTTATGACTGAGATATACGAAAGAGAGAGAGAGATATATAAATCATTTAATATATCGCATATTATTGTAGAATAATTTAATTTTAATTAAATGTATAATATCATTTAAGATCGAAAAAGAAATGGTTTGTTTTAATAATAACAAATATTATTTGTTATATGTATTTGTTCTTCAATATTCGGATTTTTCTTTTTTCATTTGTACGATAGATTTGATTGACGCAATATTCGATCAAATTAGACATTTGTTTTTTATTAATTCAAATCAGTTGGAAGATCTTCGTCATTGTATGGTTAGAATGGCATCGACTACGACGTAGTCAACCTGCTAATTTCCTCGCGTAATCGTCGCGCTCGGGTTGCCGAGAAGCAATTCCACAGATTCTTGCCTCCGAGGAATGTTCCTTTGATCGTTTCACGAACGTCACTCTAACGAGAGTGACGACGGATACGGCGGATAGCTTTCAACGTAGCAGCATCCGCGAATGGTTCCGCGTAGTCCTTTGAAATGATTACATTTTAGCTTTTATACCTTGTTTCGTGAAAATGACGTTTACGTCATGCTCCAACTATGAAGCCTACATTAACTAACAGTTTTTTAATCCGAAAACTAATGAAAATTTATATAAATTCTTTAATTTTTAGAATCATTAGATGAGAGTTAACACGAAATAGTCTTACAAATTAACAAGAGAAAATAATTCAACAACCGTATAAATATTTCTGTTAAAAATCCATGTAATTAATAGGAACAAAATGGGTGCATAATTTTGTAAGTGTCGTATTTTAAGAGCAATCATGTAACCTGGTTAAACAATTTTCACGTTGACGTTAGTCAGTAGCGTAAAGGGATTTCGCGTACTCCATTAGCCAGTATCTATCTTGAATCTGGTGCTGATAATGTGGCCGTAGGAAACTAGTGACGAGGACGACATTACTACGTTCGCATCCCTACGTCGTCGGACAGAACCGAGGGTATCAATCAGTGGTACATGAAAGGGGCGCGGTTTGGCTACGTCTGTCGTAGGATCTCGTATTGTCTGCCTTGGACAGATAGACAGCTTCTGTGCATCAAGTTTCTACGTACTATTCCTATCTGATCGAGCTTCCTGTTACTGAAAGTATTGTTGCAGTCGTCTTCTCTCACCGTTTCTTATTTCTCTCTCTCTCTCTCGCTCTTTCTCTCTCGCTCTTTCTCTCTCTGTTTCTATCTTTCCCTTTCTCTTAACGCTCAGCATCCCTATCTACAAGGGACGTTTTCTCGTGTAAAAGACATGTACTTCCTACTAACATGTTCCAAGAAAGTACGCTTGGCACTGATGGATACGCTTGCGAATTGCTTCCCCGACAACTGTGAAACGGAGTTTTACTCTAAACTCCCGGACATAGCAATCTTAGTTTCGTTTGATTTACTTACCTACTAGCTCTAACCTTAGAGTTCCAAACAAGAGAATTAAGTCGTTTGGCCCTACTTTATTTTCATTTTCTTTTTCTTTTTTTCTTTTTAGATCAGATAATAAATTTTGTATAAAAAGAAAAAAATAACACGAATTATTTTCTTCGATATATTTATACTATCTTAAATTTAGATTATTATTCGTAAAACTCTTGCTGTAAATCTTAATTTAAGAAATAATTTATCGTTTCGCGTTAAGGAAGTCAGCTATTATTATAGTTCACGTTTACAGGAAACAGGAAAAGGACTAAAGCATGACAGACTACCCAAGTAAGAATGAATCCTTTCTAAGAATTCTCAAAAGCTGCGACAGAAGCGCGGAAAACAAAAGGGTGACTAGCTTTCCGCTTGGCTGTGTCTCTTTTTCGCGAGTAGAGCAGCCACTCGCGAAAGGGCATTGTCTACGTGCCAGTAGCATGACAACCACGCGCGACACAAGTCACCGAAGAAGAAAGATAGGCCTTGACGAGAAGAAAAGAGAAAGGAAAAGAAAAGGGAAAATAAAAGAAAGAGGACGACGAGTATGAAGGAAGGAAACACCCTTTGATTCCTCGCCAGTCCCGAGAGGATCGTGATAAGTCCGTGCAGTTTCTTTCATGAGCTTTCTTTCTCGCTTTTTCTATCTGCATGCTTGTATATATATATATATATATATATGTATACGTTTGTATGTATGAGTGTGTGCTCGCATATAGGTGTTAGTCGACACCTCGCAACAGATCCGACGACAATGAAACTTTCCGGAAAGCATCGAAGCGTTAACAACGAGACAAAGCAAGAAGCGCGAGCTGAGCAACTTTTTAACGAAAAAATCAGTTATCGAACGTAATGAAGCGATCGTTTGATCGTAAATGGAACTGAAATCCTTCCATTCTATTTGACAAGGTAAGATTTCATTTCAAATCTTTCTAGTTAAGCCTGAAAGAAAAGAAGGAAGAAGAAGAAGATGAAGAAAAGGAAAAAAGAAAAAAAGAAAGGAAGAAAGGAAAAAAAGTATCGCTCCTCGTAAGACAAGGTACTCGGGATCTTAAGACTCTTGAATTTTCACGGAGAACTGTGAGAAGCCAAGAGATGCACGCTCGTGGAAGTAAAAGTCTTGCGCGTGAGAGTTAAGGAAAGAGGGTTGATAAAAGGAAGAAAGAGAAAAAGAGATAGAAGATTGAAAGGAGGAGTTGGAAGCTTTTTGCTCGCAGCAACGAACGAACGAACGAACGAACGGCAGACAGGCAAGCAGGACGATCTTCTGCCATTTAACCAACGAGCCGAATACTTCTGACTCATCTTCCCGTCCATTCCTGACTATCTTCCCCTAAAGCTAACCCAGTGAAGAAACCACCTACCCATTCCCTGTGCCCCTTTCAACGATGCATTCGGTACGATCGTCGTAACTCTTGTTCCATTGAATCCGAGGCGACCATAAAATCGAACGTTTCTTCAGGTCGAACCACCGGAGATGGGGATTTATGTCTTCCACGTAGCTGCGACGTCTCATTTCCGTTCGACTCTGTCTAGCCACGGAAGAAGCAGCATCCCTCGAACGTTGAAGAAGAAGAAGAAAAAACGATTTCTCGCGACACTTTCCTCTTAAAATTCCGTCTGAAACTGACAATAAAGATGCTCGAGAAAAATGTTGAAGCTACGGTAAGACCGGGGTGGTTCGTTTTAATGACTCGTAATGAGAAATTAGTCGAAGAATTACGATCGGGGATATTAATATCGTCGCTGGTAGTCAACGGTGAACCGAAGGAACAATGGCACCACAAGAGAAAGATTTATATATGGAAAGAGAGGGAAAGAGAGGGGTAAAGAGCGAGAGAAGAGGAGGAGGAAGAAGAAGAATACGCGTGGACGTCTGGCGTGGACAGGACGCTCTCGTTTATGCGGCAGCGAGCTCAACAATCGCGTCTGCCTGAAGGGTGCCTCCGTTCCAAGGGTAGGTGGCAGATATTTTTATCTCCTCGACGAAAACGGTTACGTATTCGCGTAACATCCGCCGTTGCATCCGGAGAAGACAGTGGCGAGCGGTGCTTACAAAAAAGATAGAAAAGGATAGATAAATAAAGATAAAAAGAGAGAGAGAATCTCGTATCATCGTGAGTCTAGGGGGCTGGTCTGGCTTCACTGTTATCGGGAGGTACGAACTTGGAAAAGAGAGATACAAAATCAAAAAAAGGAAAACCGACAAAGAGAGAGAGAAAGAGAGAAAGAGAGGGTGCGGACATTTAAAATGCAGATTAGCGAGCGGAGAAACGAGCGCAAACGCAGACGTAAACGTAAGAGCACTGGCTGTGCCGAGTGTTTTATTGAGGCTAGCTTCCGTTTTGCGCTGCCCTCCCCTTTTACCACCACCATCACCATCACTACACTACCACTACCATCACCGTACACCTCCTACTTCTATACAAAAGTCCTTCCAACTCTTACGGACCTCCCTTTTGCGTTTCGCTCGACCGCTCGTCGCTGATGCCGCACCAGAGATAAAGTCGGAGGCCGAGCTTTAACCGGCCGCTAATTTATTGATCCCAGATTTATTTGACGCGCGTGCCACGACCGGGGGCCTCTTCTAATCGCTACGCTCATGGATTTGACGGATCTTAATAGAGCACGATATCTAACGTGCTTGCTTCTACGGTGTTTGAAAAAAAACAAAAGAAAAGCAAATTAAACAATCGTGTCATTATTTTTATCGTCATAATCGTTTCTTTATTTGACGAAGAATAAAAAGGGTTAGATACGCGTGTCCGTTTATTTCGTAGTAAGATCAAAAGTTAGTTTACAAACGGCTTCGTGCGCATTCGAAAATCCCGAGGGAAAGTTAGCTCAATCAATTGCTGCATAGGAACGAGATATTCCCTCCCTCCCTCTCTCTCTCTCTCTCTCTCTCCTCTCTCTCTCTCTCCTCTCTCTCTCTCTCTCTCTCTCTCTCTCTCTCTCTCTCTCTTGTGCGACTTATAAAGTTCAAAGATCAAAGTCCGGAACGGTACGGTAACTCGATGCAAACCGTCGCGATTTCGAGGTAAACCAAGATCTGCTGAAATCTCAACGCCTCCGTTTCACTCAGACATGCGTCGAACGACTCTTGTGTAAATTCAAGCTTCCCTTAAATGACGGGGGCTGGTACCATCGAAACTGTACTACTGAAACTTTCACTTCCAACGACTAGTATAACAAGCTTCAAATAGATATTTCTCATTCCCTTTCTAACGTTCGAGTTTATAACTTTATCGAAACACTACCCTTAGACTTAAACTTTCGCCATCTTTTGTTATTCATTCTTTCAAGAGAAATCAAACGTTAATTACAAAGTATACGAAATTAACATTTAATGTAACTGTAAAGTTAACATTGTTTAAAATATATGTTTGCTTAAAATATCCGATGAAAACCAAATTTGCAATTGAGGATAGAAAACTTTACAGACACACCTTTAACTCGAGTACTCATGGATTATTCTTGTTCCCTCAATTCTTGACGAATTCAAAAGCTACTTGTCGCTAACAAGGAACGTAACCAACCGTTTATTTATCTCATCCTCTCACCTCGCGTTCCTCCCTCTCTCTTTCTCTCTCTCAGGTCGGAAGCCACGAGCGTTTGGCAGTTACATGAAATACGAGGGTGAATCTCAGTGGATGCGCATTGTCCGGCCGTAGCGTACGAAGCA